GAATTAATTCCTGCTCTCTGATTGGTTGTCGTATTGGTATCCAATCAGAGAGCTTACATTTTCTCTTTGGCACCCTCTTGGTGCGTTACCTTAAAGAATTCGAGGTCTTATGACTATATTACAAATAATTAAATTTAAATTAATTACGATGACACTATGAAAATACACTTTTTCCCTAATTATTTTATCGTACTAATTTTACAACATATGTGTTAATAGTCATATAAAACCAGTTATACAATTAAAATCTTATAGTATTTCATTATACAGACATTTTTATAGGCAATCTAAAATAAGCAAGTTTTAAGCAAAGTTTTAAGCAATTATTTCGACTTACGTTACATGAATTAAACAGTAAATTACTTTTACAAACACTATTAAACTAAGTTATCCCGCACAATATACGTGAGCTATTGTCCTCATAGATCCACAAGCAAGCCATCGAGCCTGTAGCTGACAGTCTGTTATTGGAAGTATAATAGCTTTTCCATTATCGGGAATAACAGTGATGCACCGAGCACGCGCATTTTATACCCATGCATTTAATCCATCATAAATACGGTGACATTTTGGTTGTCACTAATAACGTGATGTATGTATGTGCTGTTATCTTTCACCTTGCACCACTGAAATTTCAAAATACACATATAAAACTACCATGTAGATTTTGAGCGATATAATTTTTAACAGTTTAACTTGATTGAATGTTTTGAGAAATTAATGCTTTGCTTGGAAATAATTAAAACGATTTATGTAGAAAGTATGATCAATGCAATTGCAAACCAGTTTAAAAGTATCAAAATCAAAAACATATTTATTCACGTAAACGCTTACGCGTTCTTATGAAATGTCAAAATTTTACATAAAAAATAATCCGTTCATAAGTTACCACCTGTTCGGAAAGCAGTTTCTTTTGAGAAGAAACCGGCAAGAAACTCAACAGTTGCTCTTTTTTAAAACGATTAGTTTACAATATAATAGAACAAGTATGTCTTATTTAGGTATACCGTAGTTATCTAAGAAAAGAATTGTCTTGTATGAATTTTTATACTACGACGGCGTATTATTTGTTTGCCTAAACAGCATTTGGACTGTGACGAATTGTTGATGTTCTAAGTTAAGGAATCTTTTTTTTTGTGGGGGCATGTGTATCTTAGAATAGGCACGAGTATGGCGAGTAGTCACGGCATAATTTTACAACGGCGGAAGTGCCACGCAACATTGTTCGCTGTTGCACGAATGGGCAGGCCTGTCGGTTAAATACCACTGCTTCACTGAGGACCGGCGTGAAGTGGAAGTGTTTTTTTTTTCTTCTGCGTTTCGTTTGGTGAGTGGGGTAGCCGGGGACCTCTTTATTGAAAGGTGGCAAAGCATCTGCAACCCTGCGGGTGATGTCAATAGGCGGTTTTCAATTAAGGCCGCCAACGCAGTTGTGATTCCTTCTATGTAACAAGAGTCTCGTTTGGCTCCTTTTTTCATAAAAACAGGAGCAAAAAGCCTCCGCCTATAGCTTTCGGCCATGGAGGATGGCAATGCCTCGTGATATCGTCCCAACCCAAACGCCTCCCCGCTCTATGCCGCGGAGGACAGAGGGTGGCAAAACAACGCCATGACTTAATAGCCCCTACTTCAGTAGCAAAGTACGATGGGACCGACCTCACACCACTCTCACCCCCATCTCTCATATAGAGTATACAGTCAGTCGGTCTCCGACTGTCCGGAAAATACCAGTTCTGCACAACTCGCCGTGTCTACAAAGCATGTTCTACAAAATCACATCATTATTTTTCTCTATACAAATATATGATCCAGAAGTTGATAGCCCTCGTGAGAAATTAAGTGTAAATCGTTTTACCTTTCAGTTATACAGGAGAAATGTGAGGGCGAATGTTTCCGATAGGAATATGATGATAATTAAGTTGAAACAAAGGGGCGCTTATAGGTATTATACGTGCCTTTTAATACCTCATTAGTTTGCATTAGGATGTAACAAGCAGTTTGCGAAAAGTCTTGACTATTTTTTTGTTCTCCGACGTGTTTCCTTTCAACCTTCCTTTAGCTCGAATTTCCTACAAAAAATATACTAAGAAGCGGTCTCTCTTCAAGTTATTTCTTGTTGCTTTATTAACTCCCCGCTAGCATGCTCAGGACACCTTTTAATTTATTATTAATAAAATTTAATTACGCTCCCATCTTCCTTAAGCAAAAGTTGTGAGTGATAGTTAAATAACTAAACTTAGTCCTAAATTCACTTATGTTAATGTTCCAATAGAATAAACCGTTCCAGGTTATAAATAATTTTTGTATTATTTTCTGATTGTTGTTAACTTCATTATCAATACATCTTGTATTGATAATGTAAATCAATTACAAAAACCCTCTTAAAAATATTTTTTTTTGTAATAAAAACGTGTTCACTGCGAAAAACAAAAACGAAAAAAAAAATCGGAACAAATAATACGCATAGACTAAATTAAACTAAAATGAACTTCCATGTGTAATACGAGATTTTTTACTTTGCGCTAAACGTAATTGCCAAAAGCCTTACCATTGTCCAGTTGTATACTGTTAATTGTTTCCCTCGGCTTCGTTTGGTGTGAAATTGCAAATGCAATGTTTTGAAATGATATATTTTCTTGGTTCGAATTCGCAACTATATTTTAGTTTTATTATGGATATAACAACAGATTACCGCCGCTGTCCTTATAATATCATAATTGATTCATTAGAACTTTTGGACTTTTTTGGTTCCATAATAAGATGAGGAATAAGTGAGGGTTCCTCATCTTATTTAAGATTTTATCAATCATGCTTCGATTGATAAATGAATGCTGATCTGAGTGCAGCAGTGGTTCTGCACAATAAGTGAGTGAAATAGAAATGTCTATTGATTTGCTCAATGCGAGCTTAAGTTACTATAAAAGTAGCACCTTAATTACGTCTGTTCCACTGCTGGGCAAAATGAGAGGTCATTGTCATGTTCAGAGCGTATTAGAGAAAAATCCGCCACTTGTCCATATTACGGCCTGATAAACCTGGTTCTCGCATTTTTTCTTTGTTTCTTAGATACGAATATTTTATTCGGTGTCAAGCATATGTTAATTAATTAACATTTCTGTGATAGGATAGCTACCGCACCTTTATAATTAATTTTAATTTAATATTATTCAGAAACGATTCTTCCTTTATTTCCCTAATTAAGAATGATATATAATTAAAAGCCATATATAAGTTCGCCTACTTTACTAGGTACCATTACATAGATATCTCTGGTTCTTCTACTACTAATACCCAACCAATGACGTTGAGCCTCAACTTAGTTGTTTGCATCTCTAATATTTCTCATGATAGCAACGAACATGAGTTGCGATGGTCGTATATTTATATCGGCAACAGACTAGTTTTTGTTGCCATTAATGGGTTTAAGGTAAATATTTTCAAACTAATAGACGCTGATCCGCTCATTCTAAAACTTAGCCACTGATTATACGCAACGGGGGCCTTGCAACAAATGGGGCATGAGGCCGTGCTCTTAATCTATTGGAACTGATTTCCCGTTCGCTATAATATGCCGTCGTTTTGAATACTTATAAATAGAATACTTAGTTTACATATACGTATAAAAACAAGCTTTAAACCCGCAGTAAGATCCACAAATCAGAAATTACATTGAGCCACCGCGCCTAATTATATGCGAGTAAATAAAAGGTTTGATTTAGTTTATTAAATAGTGGTAAAGTGGTATAGAGATGATCCAAATGAATAAGAAATGCTAGTCAGTGATACAGGAAACAATCCACCGTCACAAATCGACTTTAATTTGTTATCCCTATTGCATTTTGAATTAATTTTTATTACGAGAATTACTCTGCCGTGAATTCAAAAGATAACAAGCTTCGTGCAAATGTCATCGCATCCTAAATGCGCAGGATGTCGCTTGATGGATTGCACAATGCGGCAGCCCTGTCCATCTAATACCACGCTCTGCCGCTGTAACGTACACGTGATTGTGGGCACCGTTACGCTGTCACATGGCGGATGCCTCTGAGTCCTGAATGCCCCTGCAAACTTAGATATAATATGCCTAGGACGGCTGTGATGCTATTTTTTTATTCCCATAACTCTACTAATATATAATTTTAATAATTAAATTTTTTAATGGTAAAGTTTTTTCCAGTTTGGTGAACATTTATAATAAATGAAAAAAAAAAAAAAAACCTACTAACATGATCAACGCTCTTTTGCTGTTACCGCTCATTCTGTTATGTACATAATTCTTTACAAATCAATACAAAGCCACGCCAAGCTCCACTTTTCTCGTTTACATTTACGTTTATCATTTTTATTGTCTTGTGCGCAATTATTAACGGAGTCGGACGTGTGTTTTTGTTTTTCAATCGAGTGACGCGTATTGAAATCAAAGCCGCTTTTAATTAATGTATACTGCGCTCGATTAATGCTTTTGCGAAACTGCGACTGTTGATTAATCGCGCCGCGATAAGTGATGATATATTTAGGTCCAATATCTAGTCTCTACTGAAGTCAACCCGGATGACTGCGTCTGTTGCCAAGGCCTTAGCGCCGGGAGTCGCGGGTTCGATTCCCTCACGGGACAACTATTTGTGTGAGCCACAGAATTGTTTCGGATCTAGGCGTTTGTCCACGTGAAATTTATGATTGTAAGACGTCCTTTTAACATTGCATATTACGTTATTCTGAAGTAAGGGGACCATGTTTTCGAAGGGGAGACTACAATAGATTCTGACTTAGCCAACCTTTGATATATAATAAAAAAAAGCCTTGTATATTTCTTGCTAAAGATAATACGTGAAAAACATCTTAGAATCTATTACGCTAAATCTACTTACTATATAATTAAACACATTCTTATTTGTTTTTCTTATTATGGTCATTTGCAAGAATTCCCTCGGCTTAAGGCCTCCCAAAGTGAAAAAAAAAAAACCAATAATACCGTATACTAAAGTCGCCCCGTTGCTCAGCAACCTGGAGGGCACCGCCGACGGCTTGGAGCTCGGCACCGAGGTGGAGTACTCGCTGGGGCGCGTGAACGGCTCGGGCGGCGGTTGCGCCAGCGCCGAGTTCGTGCGCGTACTGCCGAAGGGCTCCGTGCCCACCGCGAAGCCCCTCGAGCCGCCGCTCAACGGCACCGTCACCAGGACCCTGCGCGCCCTCAACCCCGACCAGCCTCAGTATTCGGGTACGTGTCCCGACTAAACACGTGACGGTGTGGTTCACGCGGACGCGCTAAGTAGGATCAACGGCAGTGCCCACGAAGCGGCCACTGGCCTCCTCGAAAAACAGCTGCTTGTATCACCTCGTGTGTAACGTTGTATCGGGTTTTCTGAGACTCACGCGGGAGCTACACCTACGCGCGAAAATACTTGGCGACGCGCGTACCTCTCTCATTTGCCCCTTTCAAAGGACAAACGGTGTGACAAGGACGTTTGCATGAAATTTATTCTGTGTGGATTTCAAAACATACCATTCAAATTTATACCTGCTATCAATTCTTTGTTCGAATTGCTGTTTTCTTATGTATTCGAGGGCCAATTTTGACGCAACAACAACGATGATGACACAATAGTGGTCCTCAGATCTAAAAAATAACAAAGATTACAGCTCAGCAAGAATGTCCCGATGCTTGAAGTGTTTTAACTCATCAACTAACATTGTGGTGGGTTCGATTCCCATACAGGACACAAAGTAGTGCGATTTTGTATCCATTAGTTTGTGATATCTACGCTACAGCTGGGTATAACTCCCTGCCCTGTTTTGCCGAATAAGGAAATCTTTTAGGTCTAACAGGATAAAAAACTTAACTTACAATACTTTTGATTTAACTGAGTCAAGGTTAAAGTAAAGAGTATGAATCATTCGGTGGTGGGCAAGTCACTGTACGCCGGTCACAGATCTGGGGCAGTGAAATATTTTGTTGGCTAATCCAACAAACTGTTATTGCTTGAGGATGCAAATCACTGGAATAAGAACCCACAACCTTAAATCATGGCAGCACTTAGCTACAGGTGAACCACAACCTCGCTTTCCACCTTCTCACATAAAAAAAGACAAGCACATATTATGTGCTGTTTTTGAGTGTCTTTTATCACGTATTAATATTTAGTGATAATTTGATGAATAAATTGTTACTCCAGGCCTGATTCAAACCGAAAATGGAAATTCCTACGAGTTCGGCATCATGGGCTTGGCGTGCAAGCGCGAGATATTGCAAGTGAGCGATCCTGTCACTTTTCAAATTGACGTGGAGGGCAGGGCTACCAACATTGTGCCTATCAGGAAGAAACGGCGCGCCACAGTTGATGCCATCAAAGGTTTTTCTTAATGCTCGATGTTTAATTAAAATAGACAATGTGAAAATTTTAATGACTCAGTAAAATTAAAAATTCAAAAATATGTAAGCCAATCAACACTGACACCAAGTGCAGTTCAAGTTCAAGGTTTTTTTTAATTAATTGAGATAAAAGATTTAACTGAGTCAAGGTTAAAGTAAAGAGATCAGTTGAAGGTCAATTAAACCGGGTTTTTCATAGATAATCTGCAACAAATAAATCTGCAAATTTTTTAATGTATTTCAATAAAATTAAGGGTTCAAAGTTTTACAAAATTGACTTAAAGTTATTGTGGACTTATAAAAACCTTCTGCATTATATATTTTAAAGTTTCAATTTAAATTATTTTTTGCTCTGCCTAAATAAAAACGTGCGGTTTCAGTCATATTATGACCATTACAAGTCAATATTTTCAGTATCATAATTAAGGTATTAATATTTGTCATTTAAAAAATTGTGTATAGAAAGAAGCCTGAATAATAAACAATTACATACAACAAGTGTTAACCTTCATATGTTAGTTCCAATATTTTATTAGTACTGAAAAGCAAAATGCTGAAAACATAAATAAATAAAAAAATGAAGTTAATACATTTTAATACGTAACATATTTACTTCACTTTATTATTGTGATAAATTTATTGTGTTCGTTGACAGGCGGTTTTGGGTTCTTATCCATCGAGTCTGAGGAAAACCGGCGCCTGTTCTTCCACATGTCTGAGGTGCGAGGCAACCCATCCGAGCTGCAGGCAGGCGATACTGTCGAATTCGTGATGCTGACCAACCAAAGGAACGGCAAATCGTCTGCTTGCAACGTCGTGAAAATAAGGTGGGCAGCGATGTTATACAAATACTAGCGACCCGCCTCGGCTTTGCACTGGTGCAATGTATTATACATATAAATCTTCCTCGTGAATCACTCTATCTAGTAAAAAGAAGCGTATCAAGATCCGTTGCGTAGTTTTAAAGATCTAAGCATACATAGGGACAGACTGACAGCGGGATGACATTTTTTATACTATGTTGAGAAATATTTTAGTTTATCGCGTGTGGGGGTCTACTCTTTTAAAGATTGTTACTGCAACTGCAACCCCATTGGTGCTGTAAATATCATTGGGCGATTAAACATTTATCATCAGGCAAAACGCTAGCTCACTTGGAAAAAAAAAAACAATTAAAATACTAAATGAATAGTTTAAATAAGCCGTGGAAAACATTTTAATAATCAAAAATCTTATCTTTTTTAGTTAATGTGTCAAAATCCGTACCGGTGCGGACAAAAAAAAGAACTTTTGATATCTCATATCTTAGTCTCGTAACACACGTAGACGCAGACAGGTTAAGTGCCCAATAAGACGTGAGCAGTCCACTTGTGACGAGTGTTTCTGTTAGCGCTGACGACGCCGTTCGCACGTTGCAGTAGCAAAGTGAGCAAGCGCAGCGAGCGGCCGGAGCGGCTGCTGGCGAGGCTGCGGACCGCCTCGCTGGAGGACTCGGCCGGCCCAAGGGTGGTGGTCGCGCGCGCGCCACGCGGCCCCGACGGCAGCCGCGGCTTTCGTCCGCGTCGCCCCATCGCCGGTAATTGTAACACATACACACACACACACACACACACACACACACACACACACACACACACACACACGCAACGCACGCACGCACGCACGCACGCACGCACGCACGCACGCACCCACGCACGCACTCCCCGGCACACTTGCACAAGCCGTCACCCCACAGTTGGTTGGCTACAGTGACTAGTACTGGCCGTACCAGACTCTGCCACTACGGAAACTTTATTCCCCATCGGTTATCCGTTCTTTTTCTCATCTGAGAAGGTGGCAAAACAGCTGGCGGTTCACCTGATGTTAAATGATGACCGCCGCCCATGGGCATTTGCAACACCCGCGGGGTTGATCTGCAACCCCGCGGGCCGCCTGCTCACCAGACTAAACGCACTTAACGCCAGTCTCTCACGAGCTATATTATGGCCGGCCCGTTGCCAATTCAGCTCGCTATTCTTTTGAGCTATATCGGTCATTTTTTTCCCACTGCGGATATCGTGGTTGCGAAATCTATCACGCAGACGAGTACTGTGAAGTCGAGAGACGCAGGTGGGCCAGGATTGTGCTTCGTCGTGGTCTGTGAGGGCCTATGTTCTGCAGTGAAATCGAGATGCTGAAATGATTATGATGATGATGGTCCCATAGCTCGCTTAGTGACTCTGAGCTTCCTAATACAGCCAGGAGTGAGGACCATGCCTCGGTTCGGGAGTAATCACTGGCAATACAATGATAGTCTTCAAACATTAAGAAATTTCGACGCGAAAATGTGTCGAAGTTTCCCGAACACTGCCCATACGAGTTCGATTCGCCGATGACTACTGCGTCCAAGTTGAACTTCGAACAGCCCTAGGTATACATACTCTTCAACAATACAGTGCTACCAATAACAATATATATTGTTGATTAGATAATTTCTTAGTCTTATCCAAGTCCATCTTAAGGTCTCAGCTATTTTGTCATGATAACTACCGTCGTCAGAAAATCAAAGGTGGGTGTTGTGTTCGCCATCGATGTTACTACCACCTCCTTTCCAAGTCAAAATATTGAAAACATCTTCCAATGTAGCGGTGAAGCGTTTCGGGATATGAAATCGCCCTGTCTAACATTTCTCTACGTCGGAATTCTAGACTACTCGGACGGACTTTATGGCTTCGTTATACAAGCACAATCAGAAATTCAAAATCAGTCAGAAATTCAATAAACAGAAGTCTATTTCGCACCGCTGAAGGGCTTTAAGTCCCATCAGATGGATTCGCTTCCACTACAGCTTTCTGTTATCGTCATTTACGTTGTTTGTATTTTTATAATTTTTTTTAGATTGTAGGTAATATTTTAACGGAACCGTACTTGATCCAACTTTATACAAAACCCGTGGACCCAACTTTACACAAGCGCATTTAAGTTTTTCACAGATAATACTTACCTGCCTCCATCATACAATTGGCTTCGTCGCTAATTGTATAGGGTTGACCGAATATTACTTTCCGCCGGTAACTATACAGTACTATGCCACTAGCATCTATCGTCTTGTTATGTTTGCTTCATTGTATGTTAGTATATCGCCTTCCGAGGAGCTAGCCCATTAGTTATATTTCAACACGTTTTATGATCTAGGCTATTTTGTTGTTCACGCCTTCGTGACCAACCGAACGTAGTCGCAAATATATGTTGAAGCTCTTCAATAAATATCTTTCAACCCTTTGCAACACTTTTTCCAATTAAAAAATAGCCTATGTTCCTCCTCAGGATCTAGACTATCTGTGTACAACATTTCATTTAAATCGGTTCAGTAGTTTTGGAGTGAAAGCGAGACAGACAGACAGAGTTCCTTTCGCATTTACAATATTAGTATAGATTAAATCGGAGACAGTCTCCTAAGCCCTTTTCCCGGTAACTATATGATGATAATAGCATAGTTAAATTTTAAAAGTATTTTTAAATGTATATTTAATTGTACGTGCTACGGTGGTAGGGCCACGCAGCAAGCTTCGGCTGTTGCACGAATGGGCAGGCTCGTCCGGGCAAGTACCACGATCCCACAGAATACCGGCGTAAAGTGGAAGTATAATACTTTCGCGTTTCGTCTGGTGAGTGAGGTGGCCGGAGCCCAATTTTCATAAGGTTGTAAACGCATCTGGAACCGTCGGGTGTAGCAGATGTCCATGGGCGGCGGTATTCACTTAACATCAGGTGAACTGTTTGATAGATTGGCAACTTTTCGACATTAAAAAAAAAATTGATTTAAAACGGTTACTTATTACGATTTTTTTACATTACAGAACAACTTGCCGAGTGAGACAGCGGAACTCTAGCACACCAAGGCCTGAACAGTACAGCTATCTCAACAGCCATGTAGGAAAACCATCCTAGGTTGACTTTCGAATTCAAATTTTTCATTGTATTCACGAGAGACTGACTGATTCTCTTTTCTTTAGCAGCATTTAGAAAATTGTTTTCGTTGTTTCTACTAATTTTAGTGAAACGATTTCGAGTTGCGCCTCTTCAGCGACGTTCGAGTTGATGAGCGATTTGACCGAACGCCTTCAGCCAATGCAATCTACGTCGATCAATAAGGACTTCGCCGTATATAGCTTATAATCGATGAGCGAGAACATATCAAAGTTAACGAAGTGTTTAGTTGCTTATTTAGGATTTCTTTTATATAAGAGGTTCTTTTTCGCATAGATACGTTGTTCAAAATTCCGTTTGTAACCATTCCTCGGGGCGTATTTTTTTCTTCTATGGTTTGCCAAGTTTTACTTTAGTGTTTACGGACGACACATAACAAATGAAGTAAGTAGCATGCACTGAGGTCCCAATATTTAATATTTTCCACTTGGATGTTGTACTACGATAAATAGGACAATCGAAAAGACATCGAATCTTTTGTAAATAACATTTATAGTGAAGTAAGTGTAACAATGTGTCTGTGTGTAAAGTTATTATAAAGCAATTTGCTGGCGTATTCGATGTGTGTCTATAACCGTATTTTAACCAATTATATGAATTAAGTTTTATAAACCAGTGTCTCGGTAATATTAAAAATATATATATTCCCTTTAAATAAATCGATTCTCTTCATTGTAATCGTACTAATGATAAATTGATACGACTAAAAAAATAAAAAAAAAGCAATTGTTCTTACGTAAACTAGATCTCTATATTGCGAATTATTCTGTGATTTTTGGAAATATCATGTGCAATAAATTATTATTGATAAAATAAAATTTGGTCCTCATAGGACATCACTAGTCTCATAGTATTATTAAATGTCCGGCTTCAACTCTGAGCTTCATCTGCTATGTGTCTCCAAGAATAATAATTGTGTCAATGGCTTACCTAATCAAATATCGAGTCGAACAAAAATTTTATGTAGCTATAAATACATTTTTATTAATCGGATAAAAGCATTTATAGAAAGTATGCTAAGTACTGGATTGGAACCAAAGACTGAAAATATTTATTGCAATAATAATATTGGTGTTAGATTATGTTAATTAACTATATGTTGTATACATTTATGAGGTCATAGTTTGTAACCGTTTTTCCTTTAACAACAACGACGTGTCGACGTTTATACGACTCCTTATTTAATCACATGGTCCATAATTGTCGTTAAGTTTACATCGCAGTTGTTTAAATATTTGTACCCGGTTAGGAAATTGTGGGACACCAAATGATGTATGGTTTTTGCGCTTTAATTGCTAACAAGAATAACCACTGGCTTTTAATATAACTACTTACATTGTCCATCGACTTTCCTTCAAGTTATTAATGCCACGTGGTCGACCCCAGGGTCCGTCTCATACAACGGATGACATAAAAACTTTTTAATGTGTCCGTAACAAATGTTGCATTATTTAATCTCGTTTTTTTGTGTCAAATTATATGATTACGCTTGGCTAATACAAAAAGGATTGTAAGGTCGTGCTAAGAATAACTTTGCAGTTGAATTAAAGGAATGAAATTAATTTAACTTTGGCCATCTTTCATGGCACAGTCTTTCTTGAGACCCCTGTGATATACCCTCAATTCGGTCATATATATGTTATTAGCTAACCTTTGTGACACAAATTAGCAGCGAATACATCGAAGTGTCGAGTCTTATGATTATTCCCAAAGAAGTGAAACAAAAAATAAAATTAGAAAGGAATTTTGAACAAACGTTAATATGCTTATACGCTTTAAAACTGCATATTATTATTTGCTAAAATCATATGAATAAGGGATTTATGTAACCTTTAATAGTAATAGTTAACAAATGATATGATTATCAGGATATTGGTGTTGTAGTGTACGAAATTAAGCCCCGGATCGTTTCGGGTATAGGTATTATTTACTAGTCTTAACGTTTACGCCCGGTGACGTTCATGTAATCGAGATTTGTGTAAGTCGAATTGCTGACGAGCGAGCAGCGCGATCCGAAGGCCGTTGGGCGCTTTGATGCGCTTTCCGTTGTAGGGCGCCGAAGTTTTTTTTTTGTAGATTCGCAGAGACCAACGCAGCGGTCGGTTGATTCGGACGGAATTTCGTCGCGATACATTCATTTGTTTGTCGGGCGATATTCTGATGTGACCACGTTGTTGTATACTTGTTTTAATTGTTGAAACCTCCCCCCCCCCCCTCCCCACCCCGTCACTTTATGCCATGCAGCCGGAGGGTCCGATCCCTTTGGGAGTTTGTGTTGTCGTTCGTCTTCTGACCAGTGTCGTTCAGACTAGTGCTCTGTCACGTCGAGTATGTTTATTATTTATGATATTGTTTATGATAACCCGAAAATATGCAGTTGTAAATTTGACGAACCATTTTGTTAGTTATTCAGTGCCTAAAAGAACCTCAAGATGACCTGGCGTATGTCAAACGACGACTTATTTAAAAACCTTTCAGAATTACAAACTTTGAAATAATCATAAGAGTTTATTTTTATTTAGTACTTCTTTGATTGTATTATTAAGACAAGATATCTATGCCAAATGTTTATACACCCTGTACATTTTGAAAATTTGTGATTAAATCAATGTACACGATCACAGATTTAGTATGAGTCCCCATTTCAGTGCGGATGGCTGAAAAAGGCGAACGAACCTTTTGCGACGGATTATTGGTATAAACGGAAGATCTAAAAAATATAAACATAAATGCAATGGTCGTGATGCAAAAAATTGGGCATTTTTCAACTAATTTTAAAATTTGCAGACTAAATTTGGTAATGAAGTAGTCAAAAGTATCGACTATTCGTCGTTTTCATCTGTAATTGCGTTATAGCTGATGACTTGATTATATACACGTCTGAATACCGTGTCGCTTCAACAGATTTTATTTTTATTATACCACTTGTGTGCGTAAAGGCATTGTTTTACACCCGCGTCGGCTGTGTTAAATGTAGAAATTTTTGTATGTTATTAGTTCGTTTTGTTTTCATTATTTTGAATGGCATGTGACATTAATATATCTTTGGTACATTATACCCGTGATATTTTTATTAGAATTCCACATTTTTCTTAAGTTTACAGAACGTCATTACTCCCCCATTTTAGGCACACAGGCGGCTCTATCCTAAAATCAACGCGTTTGATTTCTCTCAAGGAATAAAGATTTTCCAATGATTTTAATATTTTAGTTTTCTTAAAACGGGGACGATACTCCTTATAGTATTTTGATATTTATAACTAAGTCATTTATAGACAGAACATTGACGAACATTGAACAATATCGGCACCTAGTTTGTAATGTACGGTTAGAATATTCATCTTTGGCCAGTTCATTAACTCTGTGGGCATAGTGGAAATGAGAGGTCCTCGCAAAGGTGCAACAAAATTTCACACCGGGACAGCTTCTATCCCTTAACATTTGGTGGAATATCTGTGCCATATTTGGACTGGTGTTGATCCAAAAATATCATCGTATACCAGTGCAGAGTAGGCATCCGCTCGGTGCCACCGTAGAGCATGCACAGGAATTCCATAATTTTTTTCCCCTTTTTCCAATCCATTATTGGAATACTTGGTTTTTTTTTGGTATCGGGGGGGAATCTTCGAAAGATACCCTGTCACCTAACAGGGTTACGTGGGGTTTTTACCCACTAAACCCTCGGTGGCCACCTTCCGTAGATTTGGAGGGACCCGGTGCGTTCCATGGGAGATCCCGTCCATGGAACGCACCGGTGTCCCTCAGCACTACGCCTGAGCACGCCTCGGAGAAGGATAAACCTCTTATTCCCTCATCCTCTTGTTGCAGCACGAGACCACTTCGTGCTGCTGCCCATCCATGTCCCCTTTTAGTCGCCTTTTTCGACAGGCAGGGGATACCTTAGCCCTATTCTATGAGCCCGGGACTACAGGGCTGACGGAGCGGCGCGTCCGTTTCTACCGCCCCGGCGCCTTCGTTTTTGAGCGGGGTCGGCCGTCTCCCGTTCCCGCTCAGCAATCTCCTGCTGGAGCATAACAACTTCGCAGAGGAGACCAGTGCCGTCCAAGCAGATTTCTCCACCAGTTTCAGTGGCGGCTGCACCAGGTCCTGCTCCATCTTTTGGACCAGGATCCGAAGCTCTTACTCCCAAGGGGCAATCTGCAAGAGTGTGTTGCGCGGAGCCCCAGTCCCCACCACAATGGTGGCATTGCGTTGTCGGTTCGCGTCCAATTCTATTTAGGTACTCACCAAAGCCTCCGTGCCCGGTGAGTACCTGCGCCAGCCGAAAAGTGACGTGCGCGAATCCCTTCGCACTAAGCCAGGCTTCGAAGTACTGCAGGAACGCAGTGAAGATCGTTGGCGCGAGTTCCGAACTTCTCCCAAGCGCTCGTACCAAATCCAACTACCGTGTACGCTCCTGCTCCCGCACCTCTCCCGCATCCAGGGGCTTGGCCTCATTCTGGGGTAGTCGGAGGCGAGTATAACCTCGCGCATCCATCTCCGCTAGGATGTCCAGTGGTGGAAACCGAGCAAGGATAGTGGCCGCCTCACAGGATATCGTTCGATATCCTCGTTCCATCCTGGTGGCTATTCTTCGCTGCAGGCTATGAAGTTTAGACCTGCAGCGTCGGACACCCGTTAGCCGGTGAGACCATGCGGGCGCCCCGTAGAGGGCCACCGATCGCACGACTCCCGCATAGAGGCGGCGAACTCCCTACCTGGGACCCCGAGATTAGGCAGTAATTTGTGCATAGCACCTACTACCTTCTCGATACGGGGCGATTAAGCTCTTCGAAGCCCCAGCGACTAACCAGAGTGAGACCTAGATATTTCATCACCGGTCTCACCTGGATCTGCACGTCACCCACGCGAACCGATCAGCTG